TGTGTGTGTGTGTGTGTGTGTGTGTGTGTGTGTAGATGCCAAATACTTCACAAATAAAACGGAGAATTACAATGGCTTCCACAATATGCCCATTTAAACTAAGGTCGTATTTCTATGTTATGACCGTTGGAATCCACTGGAATCAAGGAGTTTGGTTGGAATCTAATTATTATTCTTGTTACATGGTCTGGACAATGGTGAGTATACTTTCATTAGATGAGGCCAATGGCCGATCAGCCTGAAAAATACTGAAAATCTCTGCCTTTGTTTTGCTTTTTTTGTTGTTGTTGTTGTGTTTGGGTTTTGTTTGTTTGTTGTTGTTTTTTGTTGTTCGTTTGTTTGTTTTTGTTTGTTTGTTTTGTTGTTGTTTTCTTTGCTTGGTCTTTGAAAAAATAATAGTAAGACCAGACAGGGGTAAACTGTTCAAATCGGCAATCCACGTATTGCGTTCTTAATAATATGCCAACTTGGCCTTTTTGTTTTACTTGGAAGAGCCTAGGCCTGACTTTTAGGATTCTAGGCTAGGCCTAGGCATCATTGGGCTAGGCCAAAGAGGCTAGGCCTAATAGCGACATGTGTATTACTCTCAGATGAATATCAAATACGGCAACCACAAGTGCCTTTTGAAACTTTACTAAACAAAATTAGGGTTTAGGGCCTATTCTAAATTTTAATCATTGTGCCAGTTCTTGCAGTTTGTTGTGTCTTAAGAAAAAAAAAACAATCTTCAGCATACGCGTTGATCCAGCTCGCAGTTGCTCTTTTCGTCTGCAGCATTTTGTTACAAACATCATGGACCTCGTCTGTACGATTTGGAATCGAGTCGAGGGCCCATAAGTTAATTTGAACACTATTCTGATCAGTCAGCCATTTATTGGTTTCATCAACTCAAATAAATAAAGAATTTATAATGTAGCGTGAAAATGGTTATGGCTTTCCCCGCGAACAGATTATTCGCCCAGGAATTCATGTTTGCAATTGAGAGTTGAAAAGATAGTCTAAGTCAGAAAAAGTCAAAACAGTAGCCTACGAAAGATCAGTTCAATTCTAGTCCCACTAAAATGTATGATTTTCTGAATCAATGTATTTTGCAGATAAGAAAACTAGCTCTGTTGTGCAATAATCATAATGTTATTTTTGGGCCTCTATACATTTTTAAAAAAATCGGATTTGACATTTCACCTGACATAAAACTGGCATAAACGTCGTCAGTGTGTAAAGCAATAGAATTTAGCCAAAGAGTGTGTAGCGCATGTGTTGTAAAAATACCTGCATCACAATTACTTTTGAAGTGCTGTTTTCATATCAGAAGGTGTGTATAGATTTTGATATTCACGAGCCAGAGGTATTAGTGTTGGGTTTTTTTTAGAGGAGTTCCGTAACGGGTGACCACTGTGAGACAGTAGAATAGAAGCAAGGCTACGGATAGAGTCTAGAGGCTAGGCTAGGGTTAGAGGTGTGTAGGTGTAGGGGTAGGGATAGATCTAGATATAGATATAGATATAGATCTATCTAGGTCTCTTCTTTCTTTTTTGGGCGGTCGCTCGTTACGGAAGTCCTTCACTAGATCGAGATCTAGATCTAGATTTATCTCATGATCTTTAAAACTACAAACTACAGTCAAAGGAAGTGGCTATTGAAATACGATCGACCTCTCACCCCGCCCCGGGTGAGACTTGCCACCGTAGGCTATTCTCACCTGGTGTGAAACAAGACCTGTTTTTCCTAATTTCGGAATACTTTCTATCGATGTGGATGATCAAATGGATAAAGGCAAAGAAAAGATTACGTTTATAGCACAAAAGTAAGCTAATTTGATCGTCTACAAAGATGCTACATGGCTATTTCACTTTTCGAATCGAGCCGAACTACGCTGGTGGCCATTTTGTTTTGCCCGGAAGTTCTCGCTAGATCTACTCCTCCCCTCTTCTCTCTCTCTTGTCTCTTTCTGAATCTGTCTATCAGTGTGGACGATCAAATTGACCAAAACAAAGTAAAAAAAATGATGTTTAAACACAAAAGTAAATTAATTTGGTCGTCTAAAGATGCTACGGCTATTTAACTTTTTTCGAATTGAGCCGAACTACGCGGGTCGCCATTTTGTTTTGCCCGGAAGCTCTCGCACTACTCCTCTCTCTCTCTCTCTCTCTCTCTCTCTCTCTCTCTCTCTCTCTCTCTCTCTCTCTCTCTCTCTCTCTCTCTCTCTACTGCCCACAGACAAAATTGTACGCTTTTAAGAAGCTAACAGTAGTAATAGAACGTTTGTTCACGGCACAGAATTCTACAATTTTTCTGTTATCACAGTGTAGAATTCTGTGGTTTAGGGTGAACGCAAAATTGGTTAGCCTAGATCTAGGATATATAACAGTGAACGGACACCGGGTGAGAATAGCCAAAGGACTCGCCTGCGCTATTCTCACCCGGGGTGAGAATAGAGGTGGCCACAGTCAAACCTGTGTAAGACGGCCACCCGTTGTGACTGTCAAGGAGAAAAATGGCCGTATTAAACAGGAAACAGGTGGCTGTCTTAGGCCTAGGCAGGATGGTACATGGTAAGATTGAAGTTGAAGAATACCGGACCAGCAGATTGGGGCTACTTTTGCCTATGTCCCAACCGCGGGTATTAAATAAATGTCAACACTCTTTGTGACTTGACGTAGACTTTTAATAATCAAGCACAATGAAGACATACGTCAGACGATGCATGACTGGGACAGAAACGGAACAGAAATAAAGCAGATGAATATGATGGACAAATAAGGGAAATAATAATAATGGACACAAGGAACAGATACGAATGATGGCACATACATGTGGTCTTGTAGCTACTGAATGATATTCCTCTACGCCCCCCCAAGTCTTTGGAGTAGAACAGAAAAGACTGATGAAATGTCAAGAAATAATGGTGATACAACAAGGAACAAATGATTGATCAATGATCTGAATCAGAATAAGATTTAGAGTCAATTGGCTTGAGGCTCTGTCTGGCCAACAGTCTCGCCGATCGCCGAGGGCCGCCTGGAGGCGTGCTCACGCCTATGGGAGCATCTTGCTCTTGTATGCCAGGGGCATTGTGCGGCTGGAGCGAACGTAGAGCACGCGGGGTGGCATGAGCCTGAGGTTGTGGAACCACCGTCTCGACAGCAGGGCGTGGATCAGGTGCTAGTTCTTGCCTGGATTCGGGGACAGTGGGCATCGATGGATCGTGTGCTGGGGGGTCCGGAACGCCAGCTGGTTGTGGTAGATCCGGGCAAGGAGAGGGCGGCGAGGTCACGCTGGGCTTGGCATGCCTGGGGGTGTGAACATTCTGAGGCACCGGCTGTGGTGGTGAGGTGCCACCCGGGATCATTGTCAGTGGTGAGCGTGGGACCACTGGCATGTAGTTGCGGAGGAACTTTCTGTTCCGAAGAGTGATGCGGCCAGAGCCATCCACTCGAACGACGTACTGGTCAAATTGACGTACTTCGACTACAATGCCCGTCTTGTCCCATTTGGTCGGGTGGGTTCCCGTTTGGTTCTGTATGCGCACACAGTCACCGACGACGAGTGGAGGTAAGATGCGAGTGTGCTCAGAGAGGCGCTCAGCGGTGCGCATGTGCCGGTTCCTCAGTGCCTCCTCTCGCGACAGAAGGGTTTCACGCCAGGTACTGTGAGGCTGATACTTCCCTGGGTGGATGGGGATGAAGTCCCGTATTGGACGTCCAAAGATACACATTGCTGGGGATAGGTGGGTGTCACGATCAGGAGTGTTCCTGTATTGCAGCATTGCGCGCTGGAACTTGTCAGTGTTTAAAGATCCTTGTGCACCCGTGTTGTCAGTGATCAACCGTTTCACTGTCTTTACTCCAACTTCAGCGCGACAATTAGAGTGGGGAAAGGCGACTGAAGAGACCCTGTGGTGGACACCCCAGTTGCGAAGGAAGGTGGAGGTTGCCAGGGACGTGAACTCTGGGCCTCCGTCCGATGTCAGTTCATCACTGATGCCATACGTGACGAAGATGCGACGCAACGCGGCAACGAGGCCGGCAGATCCATGGGAGGCTTCTTCAACGATAGGCCAGTTACTGTACCTGTCGACTGCAACTAGGTAGCTGTGGCCTCGATGATGAAAATAATCCGCCGCAATACATTGGAACGGGTATGCTGGTGCTATTGGAGGGGTGGGAGGTGCACTCGGCTGGGAAGGTGCCATGCGGTTGCATGACTGACAGCGGGCCCGCACTTCAGTGATGGCCGCGGTCATGCCGGGCCAAAAAAACGAGGCCTCAGCTCGAGAGCACATTTGGGACACACCCTGGTGAGCAGAGTGTAAGGATTGGAGGACTCGCTCACGGAGCGACGGGGGGATGACTACCCGGTCGTGGTACAGGATGACACCATCAAATGTCGTGAGGAACTCCCGGAATTGATGGTATGGGCGAAGATCAGGGGACAGAGAAGCCCTGTCTTCAGGGAACCCATCCTCAATAGTGTTACTCAAAGCAGTCATTGTAGAGTCGCTGGATGTTGCAAGTCGAATCTCGTCCCAAGTCACTGACTTGATCACCTCAGTTGGAGCGAGGTCAGGTTTGGAGCATACCTGGTTGGTGTCATCCTGTTCCTGGGTGCGGATGGCAGAAAGAAAGTCGTGTGGCAGTTCAGGTGTCAAGGGAGGGTCATCAAGGAGCAGAATGGGAGCGGCATCATCAGGGAGTCTGAGAGTGTTAGGGCTGCCCACTGGTCTGCGGGAGACGGCATCTGCTGCAGCATGACGTAGACCGGGGATGTGGACGATGCGGAAGCGATATCTAAGGGACTTCTCCTTGAGGTTCCTGAGGCGGGGATTGGGGATATCGTCGAGACACCGGTCCCCAAACGTCTTCAAAAGAGGTTTGTGGTCCACCGCCACGATCAGGTCGGAACAACCCAAGGTGAAATGGCGTGCTTTGTCTAGTGCATCAACCACAGCCAGGGCTTCACCTTCTATGGGCGCATAGTGGGACTCGGCTCCTGATGTGAATCGACTACCGACCAGGGTGATCTTCCAGCCAGTTTTGCAGCAAAATGGCTTTTCCGAAAGACATGTACAATGTTTCTGGAAGAGCCAGAAGCCTATGCCATCCTTGCTCCAGTCGGTGGCTAGGCAAGTTGGTTTCTTCTTGTCAAATATTTCAACCCCTTGGTGGATTTCGTTGATGATGGCCTCCTTTGACCATTCAAACAGACGGTCGAGCTCCTCTGTCCATTCGAGGCGTTTTCCCGGCTTCAGTGCTTCCCGGAATGGGAGCATGCGTTCTGCGGAAGCGAAGGCATAGGATACCTGATTGATGAGACCGAACCAGCTCCTGACGTCGGTGATGTTCCGAGGTGTGGGGAAATGTCGAATGGCCTCCAGGTAGCGGGCACATGGGCGTACGGTGGAGGGAGTTATTTCGAAACCTGCAAACTCAACCGTAGTTTTGGCGAATTGAAACTTGGATGGGTTGAGTATGATGCCATTGGTGCCACATAGGTCAAGCCACTTGATGGCCTGAAAAAAGGCTTCCTCAATAGAGTTTGACCACATAAGGGTGTCGTCAATGCATTTGGTTTTGTGGGGGAAGTCTGCGACGATCTCATCGAAGCGGCGGCTGTATCCATCCCCGGATGATATGTAGCCTTGGGGGGCCAGGAGATAGCGATAACGACCCTATGGGGTGATAAACGTCGTCAAATGTCTATCCTCTTCAGCAAGAGCGATGCTATGGTAGCCATTCCATGCGTCAAAAACCGATTTCCTCGTGTGGGGTGGCACTTTGCGGGCCTGGTGGAAGGGAGACTGAGTGTGGTGTGTCTCCCGCGTTGCATGTCGGTTAAGCGGTTGGAGGTCAACCGTGCGCCTTGGTTTACCCGACTTCTTCGGACAGATCACCATCTTGTGGCACCAGGTGACTGGGGTGCCGACGGGGACAGGCTCGATGACCCCCAGTCGCACATCTTGATCTAGGCCGGCTTTGACCTCGTCTTGCCAATGGACTGGGACAGGGATGGGGGTGTGGTGGGCCACGGGACGGGCGTCAGGGTCCACCATGAGGTGGATGGGAGGGCCAGACATCATCGGTAGAGGTTGATGTTCGCACACGTTGAAGGTACTGGACCTGTAGTGATCTAGGAGCCACTGCTCCAAGCCCTCTCTGTTCTCTTCTGTGGCAGGAAGTGGGAGGGAGGTTGGTGGTGGCGGAGGTGGTTGGCGGTGTGAGCACCCGCAAGCCGGCTTGTCCTTCGAATTGATTGCTGCACTGGTGACGCCAATGGTCGGAAAGCTAGGAGGGATTATTCCCAAAGCCACACAGGCTTGCTTGCTTAGGAACACCCGACCAGTGGATGTGGTGAAGTACACCATCTGGTGAGTCACCAGCTTGGTGTTGGACGGAGATGTACCAGAAATACGAAGGGGAAGGGCTCCGACGATGTCAATGGCCCCACGATTCGCAGCTGTCATCTTCATGTTGACAGGGAGGAGATGGCGGCGAGTGAGGCTCATCCTAGTCAAGAGTGCTACGCCCGCCAGGCACGACTGGCACCCAGTGTCTGCCATAGCTTGGTACTTGACGGGAGAGGTGCTGCCTCTCATAGATGGCGGGAAGCCGAGAGGTCTGAAGGCACTGCCTGGATGGTGACATTCACAAAAGGCTGAGGGTCGGATGCTCGCTTCTCCCATGCCCTGCAAAACTCATTGTATACATGATGGTCTAGGGATACAGAGTACGCATTAGACACCGGTGTGGCGGAATCTGCACCGCATAGACTGTCAAAGGCGGCAGCAGAGTCATCCAGGGCATTTGAGGGGTTGCGATTCCGTGACGACTGTCGGCAGAGGTTGGCGAAATGATTGGATAGGCCACACCTGGTGCATCTTTTACCAAATGCCGGACACTTCTTCATACGTTCCTGTCTACCATTCCCATGGTCCAGTTTGCCGCAGTAATTGCAGGGGAACGCTTGGCCCTCACTGTGGAACAAGTTGCCCTGTGTGCCGAGCTTCTCACTGCGCTTGTAGGAGCTTGTGACCGCTGCCGTGGTGTAGGAGCAGCTTTCAACGAGGCGACTGGCTGACCTCTTGCCACTCTCCTTCGCCTCCACGTAGCAGAGTGCATCCTCGAGGGACATGTCCTGCTTTGACTCACCTAAGATGTCGAGTCGGATCTCCTCATCAATTAGACCTCGGATGAGGACGTCACGAATCATCATATCGCTATAGTCCACGCTGGGTTCGTGGACATCTGGAGGGCACCTAGGGCATTTTATCTTGAAGTTGCAAACCCCAGCCTGGCCCCTGAGGCGGGCGGCGAAGGCTCTGACAGGCTCGTCCCGGTCTTGCTTCATTTGATGTAGCTGTACCCGTGCCACCATGATGTTTTCCTGGCGCACCGCCAGGCTCTTGATGTTCTTTAGGACAGTGTTCTCTTCGCTGGAGGCTAGGGCGCCGAATGTCCTAGTGGGATCCTTTCGTAGCGACTCATCGCAGCACTCGAGAAGCTGGAAGACGATGTCTGCACCAGTCAGGCGAGTCGCTTGTTTGTAGTCGGCCCACCGTTGGGTGAAGTATGACCACGCCTCGCTCGTTCCGGATGCAGACATGACAGGGCGTCGCACTTTCTCAGCCTTGGCTGCCGCAGTCGGTGCATTCGCTCGTGTTGTATGGGCTGTGGTGGCGTGGATGTCAATGAGGCGTGTCAACACATCGGTCGGCGTAGATGCAGGCCACTCCACGTCGCAGCCCGGGGCAGGGCAAGGGATGATGGTCATGATGTATCTCTTAAAGATGAAGTGTGTGGAAAGTTAGAGTGTAGATCTAGACGCTAGCTGTAGTGCAGAGAACGAAGACACTGACACAAGGATGGGTGTATCTCTTATGTCTTCATAAATAAATGTCAACATTCTTTGTGACTTGACGTAGACTTTTAATAATCAAGCACAATGAAGACATACGTCAGACGATGCATGACTGGGACAGAAACGGAACAGAAATAAAGCAGATGAATATGATGGACAAATAAGGGAAATAATAATAATGGACACAAGGAACAGATACGAATGATGGCACATACATGTGGTCTTGTAGCTACTGAATGATATTCCTCTAGGTATGAAAGGAGCTTAGCACAGTTAAATGAGCGGTAGCTTATTTTTCGTAACGAAGTAACTATTCCGACTCGAGTCCGAATATGGAAAAATTTTATTCGGACTTAATTCTTGTCCAGCATGACATCACTTCCGACTTCCTGTGACTCGTGACTCCGGCTTCCTGTCCTGCCTCACTCGTGACTAGCCTCAGGCTGGGTAGAGACCGGGATCACCTCGGACAAAATGGCGTTTTGTGCAGGAGCCGAGTTTTTATTTTATGATGAATTTGAGGCTGGTCTGAAAAGTTATAGCGCTTCTAATAAATATGTTTATTTTGTCAAGAGGTCATCAGAAGAAGCAATTAAAGATGGCTCGTTAGCGTGTGTCGGGGTCGGATGAGCGGCCTGCACACGTGTGGCTGTGTGTGCGTGTCGGGGAGGGGGGGGGCCTGTCGGTCAGAGCATTGAACGTCGCATACGCGTCAGTCGTTTTTTCCCCGACAACTTATCATTATTGAATTAATAAGCAATAAAAGTGTACCAAAAATTAATTGATTAAAAAATTCGTAACTGTTCTGTCTATTGATGGATTTCAAAAATTCAAAAAGTTTTAAAAGTTCCATTCTCTGTGAAGATACAGCTACAAAATGCACATATTTGCAAACACTTTCTGGCAAAAAAAGGGTTTTTGTGGTCATCATGCAATTAAAGATGGCTCGTTAACGTGTGTCGGGGTCGGATGTGCGACCTGCACACGTGTGGCTGTGTGTGCGTGTCGGGGAAGGGGGGGGCACTATCGGTCGGAGCATTGAACGTCGCATACGCGTCAGTCGTTTTTTCCCCAGTAACTGATCATTATTGCAATAACTAGTCTTGACCTAGATTTACGTAATGAATTTGCGCTGGTTTATGGAATCAAAAGTTGCCGTATTCTCGGCTCTACACAGCAACACAACTTTTTCTTGGTAAACAATCGAGATGACACAGGCTTGTGTATTTGTACGAATGTCTTTTTTTTTTTTTACACAGCTCATAATGTGCAGGTGCCAGGTGGTCTGCTAATCTTCAATTTTACCTTTTTCTACAACAAAGAAAGTGGGAAACATGGAGGGTGGAGGGGGTGGGGGCGTATCAATGAGGCGGCGGGCATCGGATCGGCAGATAAGGTGTGGGAGAAACAGACAAAAAGGCGGAAAATTGGAAGCACTGAACGTTAGATCTATAGAACGAAGACACTTCCTTTTTTCCGGACCCGAGTCCGAATAACATTTTTCATATTCAGACTCGAGTTCAAATAAGAAATTTTTTTATTTGGTCTCGAGTCCGAATATGAAAAAATGTTATTCGGACCTGACGGCCTTTTCGTAATGCTATTTTTATCATACGTGTGTAGATCTATAGAGAAATTGAAATAAAAGACTATTTTCAAAAGCACTTTTAATGGAATTTAGCAGGAACTAATTTTTGTAGTACAGCTTCCTTCTCTCAACCATACCGAGGTCCAGGAAACTTCATTTAGACGACACAGTAGTAGATCGAGAGTTAGGCCTAGTCCGGGAAGCTTCACCTAAGGCTAAACCAAGAACGTGCATTCACGGCGAAGCATTTGTGATTCCGGACCACAGCGAAGCATGCCGGACCACGGATCACGTGCCTGCAGGGCGGGGCCTAAAGACCGAGTGCGCAAGCCACCGCCTCTCCCTTCCCCGCCTGGTGCGGCATTCTTCGTTTAGGGTGGGCCAAGTGCATTGTGAGATAACATGATCTATTTTTTCATCTCTCTCTCAATGAAGATTCCTCAATCTTACCTTGTGAGTGATCAAATTGACAACAAAGAAAAAGATGATGTTATAGCTCCTCAAAAGTAAACTAAGTTGGTAGTCTACAACGATGCTACGGCTATTTCACTTTTCGACTCGAGCCGAACTACGCGGGTTGCCATTTTGTTTAGCCCGGAAGTTCTCGCTCCTCCTCCTCTCTCTCTCTCTCTCTCTCTCTCTCTATAGCTCTAGAGCTGTGTTCACATGGGAGTCGGCGCTATAGAAATAAACTGATTATTACTATTATTATTTTTATTATTATTATTATTACATTGACCTATGGGACTATTCTATCATGAGTAGTAGGACTTTAGATTGATATTGTTTGGTTGTGACGAAGTGTGATGACTTTTGTTGTTGGCTGAGATTGAGATGGCTTGAAATGAGGATTTTTACTCCTGGGAAAATGAGTAGATCTAGGTCTACTTAAAGAGAGGAACAATGTTACTCGATCCTCTTCTACTCTCTTAACGACTTAATGTAACGCATATATACCTCCGCCCCCACCCCCTTTCTGCCTCTTAGAAAAATGGATAACAGAAGAAAGCTGTATTCTCAAAATGACATGGAGGCTGCTGTGAATGCCTGCAAGTCAGGTGCCATGTCCCAAAGGGTGGCTGCCTCTACATTTAATGTGCCGAGAGCTACTCTGGGAGACAAACTGAAAGGATTATACCCCGTGACACCCCGAAGCCGCACTGTCCTGATGCAAGAGGAGGAGGCTAGAGTGGTGGAGTGGCTGGAGGAAAGTGCTGCGCGTGGTTGTGGCCAAGGCAGGGAAGAGGTGTGTCTTGCCATCCAGCGAATTTTGAATGCGGAGGGGCGAGACACACCCTTCAAAGACAATAAACCGGGTTCCAAGTGGTTCTATTCTTTTTTAACTCGGCACCCAAACCTCAAACAGAGGAAGACTTCAATTGTCGGAGAACAGCGAGCCAAGGTGAGCGAGGAGAAGATCAGGACTTGGTTCCGTGAAGTCGAGCTCAACTTGGATCAGGAAGGTATAAACATCCACACAGTGCCGCCACAAAACATTTTCAATGTTGATGAGAGTGGCTTTCCCTTTTTGCAGCGGGGCAGTGTGATGGTGACTGATGTGAACGAGAAACATCCTTGCTCCATGGGATCTGATACAAAGCAGCAAATCACTGTGCTCTGTGCCGGGTCTGCTGGAGGAAGTATTCTCTCGCCATACATTATCTTCCCAGGTTCCAGATGGACTTACTATCCCTGGGATGATTTTAAGAATGCACACTATGACCTCACCTCCAACGGTCGGGTCAATTCTGAGGTTTTCCTCACTTGGCTCAGAAACGCATTTGAGCCAGCCACCAGAGACCTGTCAAGACCTGTGGTGCTGTTTGCAGATGGCCATCAGAGTCTCATCGATATGGATGTGCACTTCTTCTGCAAACAGCACCAGATCACATACTACGTGCTGCCAGCACATGCCTCTCACATTGTCCAGCCGCTTGACCTAATTTTCTATGATGTGCTCAAGCAGCAATGGAGGGACAGCGTGAACGACTACAAGAGGATTTCAAACGTATGCGCGGTCACAAAAAAATCCTTTGCTGGTGTGTTTAAGGAGGCGTGGATAAGATCCCATACACCTGAAAAAATGGCCAAGGCATTTGAGGCAGCTGGTCTCTCACCGTGGAACCCTGGGAGGCCCGACTATTCTAAGTGCAGGGCTAGTCGGGTGAACGGAACGTTTCCAGCTGCCTCTAGTGCGTCACCAGAACCCCTGTCTGCGACCGTGGGCCCCTCCGTCGAGCTATCTCCATCTGTGTGCCCTATTGATGACATGTCTCCGTCTGTGTGCCCCTCCGTCGAGCAGTCCCTGTCTGTGTGCCCCTCCGTCGAGCAGTCTCCGTCAGTGTGCCTCTCCGTCGAGCAGTCTCCGTCTGTGTGCCCCTCCGTCGAGCAGTCTCCGTCTGTGTGCCTCTCCGTCGAGCAGTCTCCGTCTGTGTGCCCCTCCGTCGTGCAGTCTCCGTCTGTGTGCCCCACCGATGACTTGTCTTCGCCTGTGAGCCCCTCCAGTGACCTGCCCTCTACTGCTGTTGACCTCTCAAATCCAGTTGTCCCACGCACCAAGAACATTGCCATGGCGGTAGACCAGCTTGTGGATTTCATTATTACCTCTGGTTGGTCTGCCTCTGATATGTACAGTATCCGGAGAAGGCAGTGGAGAAACATTCCGCCAGGGCCAGATGAAGAAATGTATCAGAAATACCTGGACCTGTACAATTACATTGTTCCCCCTTCCGCTTTTGACAATCTCCCCTTACCCCAAAAGTGTTCTGCAAAATCTGCGCACAGAGTGCAGACTCCCAAGTATGTATCCGGGGAAAAGTTTCGGGAGTTCCAAGAAAGAAAGGAAAAAGAGGAACGGGATAAGAAAGCTGCAATAGAGACAAGGAAGAGACGGAGGGCAAGAAAAAAGGCAGAGAAAGAGAAAAAGAGGCTAGAAAGGGAAACAGCGAACAAAGTGAATATGACAGAGAGACAGGCCGAGAAAGAGGCAGTGAAAGAGAAAAAGAGGATGGAAAAAAAAAAGAGGAAGACTGATGTGATAAATGAAAAGGAAGCTGAGAGTGATGAATGTGATTCAGATGGTATTGAGTGCATGGATAGTTCTGGGGATGAGTGTGCAGAAGTCCTTGAGCGTATGTTGTCTGGGGTAGGGTATGATGAGAGTACATACCACCATGTTTTGAACTGTCCTCCAAGAAAGTTGCAGTTAAAAATAGCAAAAGTTATAAAAAGTTGCAAGAAAAATAGCAAAAGTTCCAAAAGAAGTTGCAAGTCATTTTTATAGCTAAAAAAAAAATTCCATGGAATTATTGGAATTCATTGTTGGTATGCTCATTGCAATCAAAGTAACCTACATAAGTTTTGTTAGATCAAAATAAAAAAAGTAAATGTGAATGTTTCCCCCCAAAAAATTAAAAAATTGGAGTTTGAGTTGTAGGCAATTTTAGCTTCCTCAGCCACTCCTACTACTAGTTCATTGCATAGTCAATATTTTATTTATCTTTATGGGCCGTTTTCTCAAAACACGATTTTTCTCTATACTTCTTCTTTTCTATGAAACTTCTATCGTCCTTTTCTCCCCTTCTTCTTTTTTATGTTTGTTACTTTCTTGTAACACCTCTAATCTTCTGGCACTCATATGACCTTATGCACTTGCGAGTGCCGTAAAACATCTACTAAAAACTAAAAGACTTGAAAATACTACCTCAGGAAAAAATTCATTAAAGATTTTCTAATTCGTTTAGAATTAGAAGGAAAAGAACAACAGAAATTTTTTTTTAGATCTGTTAATACGCATGCAAAAAATAAATCCATTTCCATGTGCAATAAGTGTGGTATTCATTACGTAAACATGTCTACAAAATCCGATATGGTCGCCGTATCAATGGAAATGAAACTTTTTTCTCAAATTTGATTGTGGATTTTAAGACTCCTTACTATGCTTGTTATATGTGGAATTTGGTAAAATTTGGTCCACTAATAAGCGAGATAGCCTTCAGGTGTAGCCACACACCCCCCCCCCCCCCCCCCCCCACCTTAAACGCACTGGTGTAATCAAAATTAGACTAGAGTACATGTAATGTATCTTCCAGTGGATAAAATGCGAGATGGCATTCGTGCTTGCTGCTCGAGGACCTCTGCATCGCCACGCATATGCCGTGCTTATCGCTCTAAGTGAATAGTATAGTTAGATCTAACTCTTTTTATGTGATTTTTTTTTTATGTTGTCATAAATTATTTTCCTTATTTTTTCACCTCACAAAAGTGTAATGTTATAGAAGATGGTTCAAGACCTCTCCCCCACCTTTCCAAGTTTAAGATTATATTTTTTTGAAATCCTTTACGGGTTGGGTTTTTTTTTTTATAAATCGATCCATGTCTAGGTCTACCCTCCTAGCCTAATATTTAAAGCCTTTCACAATTTTTTTTACCAGATCTAGATCTATCTACCTGGTGCTACGGAACTGAGCAAGCTAAGTCTGCTAAGTAATCAGTCGATCGTGTTTACGATTGATTTACTCTAGATTTATCTAGATATTGTCTAGAAGATGATTCACTCCAAGTCCAAACAGGACTATTGAGAGGTCGAGTTGGGTCGGTTTGCTCGCCAGATTGATGGCACAAAGCGGCTATCATGACACAAGTCGATCGGGCCCGACTCGTTGCTTCAAAAACAAACTCATTTGTTTTCAGGCGACAAGTCGAGTGATCATCTCGATCTGCCCTGATCCCATGCGCAATGGGCACAGGGCACCCTGTACAAAGGAAGTGGTAGATATATATATCTATTTCTGGTATGAATTGTCCCCCTTGGCATTGTTATTTTTAATTTTTAGTGGTGGAAGAAAATTTCGGTGATTTTTAACGAAGTTTTATGATTATTTTTCCAATTTTTGTGAAAAATTGGCTGAAATTCTGTGAATTCAATGTTGTGTGTGCAAGTTGTGGGTTGCGGGCGCGAATTTCTCTGGGGACAGTTTGAATATGGTAGTGACAGAGACTTAGACGGATGGATTGTGTGAGAAGTGGTACCATAGGAGCTGTACAGGGGCGAGGATGGAGTTGATTGTCAGTATAATGGAGGAGGAAGTTAGTGAATTTAGGTTCATTTGTGATGTATTTACTCTGTGAGCTGCTGTAAAAGTTGTAGTCTTTGTTGAGAGTGGTTTTGAGAGGACTTTGTTGGGAGTTTCAATTTTGTTTTTGTTAAATTACTTTGCTGTTTTCTAAATGTTATCCACATTTGTTGAAATAGTTTGATGCTGGTAACTACATTTAAAAATTTGTCTTTTGAATTCCTGAATGGGTACATGTGATCTTTGTGAGAGATGGTTCATCGCCATGAGCTGCTTGATAGTTTCAGATTTAATGTTTTTTCTGATTGCTCTGATTTGCTGTATATTTGCTGAAATAGTTGGCAGTGTGAGAGATTATAGTTGGCAGTGTGAGAGATGATCAGTGGCTGGTGAGGGACGCAGGTGGAAGTGATTGTAAGCCCGACGGGGACATGGAGGCGATTAATGGATATAGGTTCATTGATTATATATTATGTACACCGTTAATTCCTTTCATAGTTTACACTATTATTTTATCTATGTCCAAAAGATTTGTTGTTTCTCATTTTACCTGTTTCTGATTCAATTGTTGCTGTTTTCCATATTGAATCGAAAAATTAGCAACAATTAAAATTTTTAATTTTTATTTTATGTTCAACTTCATTTGCTGTTTGAGTTGTTACTTGTTTTTAATTAATTTTTTTTTCAGCTTTTTGGCCAATATATGCTTATTCATAGCTACAAAAGATGCTAACCAGATGATGATTTAGTGTGTATGAAAACCCCAAAAAACACAACTAATCTACGATGTTATAGCATGAGTTTTTCAGGTGGCCAGTATTGGGGAAACTGGTGGCTGGTAAGAGGCATATAGTCGACTAGTTGGCTGGTGAAGAGCTACTCGGGGTCTCCAAAAGTGTGATGTCTTATCGTGTACAAACATGAACCAAATTAACTAATCTGGCAGTTGCCTTTTACCGGCCACAGAAGGGGGATTATTTTCTGACATCTTATTACGACGTGGGTCTCCATTTAAGGTTGATATTAAGGTTTATTCACATACTTACGGTTATAAGCCTAAGGCAGCCGGTAAGTGGCACTTATACTTCGTCTGTTACTATCAAATGCGTAAAGGCAGGCTTTCTTTTTTCAAAAGGAAAAAAAAGGTTTCTAAGAAGGCAAAACTTTCGCAAAGTCAGTCCAAATGTCAAATACATGTCCAACGAAGATGCTGCTCAAAAAGAAGTGTCTTGGCACTCTCAGGTTTGGTGTGTTCAACTGTAACAGCCTAGAGTCTAGAATGATCTAGATCAGAGAGGCTTTACAGTAAGAGAGAGGTGTCACTCGTGGCGTTGCTCCATAACAACAATGCATTGTTTCGTGTGTCACCAGGCGCGGGGCGCGAAGAACTTTAGAGCTTACGCACAATAATCGCTGACATGGTGATCGCTGCCATGGCAATGCTCAGGGATGCTGTCATGTCATGAGAAAATGTAGTGCCGTCTGTACTGTAGTTAGTTCACTAGGTTACTAGGCCTTTATCAAAGAAGGAGGTGTGTGTCTGTCTGTCCTGTCTCTCTCTTTCTCCCCCCTCTCTCACTCTATCTATCTGTCTGTCTGTCTGTCTGTCTGTCAATTCTCTCTCTCTCTCTCTCTCTCTCTCTCTCTCTCTCTCTCTCTCTCTCTCTTTCTTTCACACACACACACGCAGACTCACACACCGGTGCCTTTCCTAGAGGGTTCCCAATCTTACAAATAATTTATTACCAAGGGTCGTTTGGGGGAATTCGCATGGCTCCCTGCTTTCGTCCTTCCTCCATCATTACAGTTACGCATTAAATAAAGGAAGTGTCTGCGTAGACGGTAATGGGGCACGTAGTCTCAGTATCTACGTACACAGTAACCGGGTACTTAGTTTCGTTGGTGGTTGGTGGGTGCTCTGGTTTGGTTTGCTCCTTCTTTCCTATAAAAAAATCTATCGTCTCTATCTCCTTTCCTTCTCTTTTATGTTTGTTACTCTCTTGTAACACCTCTATTCTTCGGCACTTATTTGACCTTATTGTGTTGCAAGTGCTGTAAAACTCTTACAAAAACATTTTTAAAATTAGTTTCGGGGGCACCTTGAGCTAGCATGAGGTTCCTTCATAATTATAACCTTGACTTTTTTCATTTTTTTCCCCGTTTTCTGTGTGTTAGTGAAATGAGCAGAAAGTAAACAGTAAGCATGATGGGACCATTCTATTGCCTGTTTCCCTTTATTTTTGGTCTGGATTCCAAAAATAACAAGATGGCACAGCCATTTATATTCTATAGATTGAAAGCAAGTCTAATCAAAAACTTCTATCATATTCTATGCCCTATCCCCATCCATTTTTATTATTTATGCATTAAGTCTAGTGTGCTTAAAAACGCTGGAAGAAAAATGCGTGTAAATGAAAAAGTTGCAAATATACCATAAATGGAAAGTCCCTATTAAGATCTGTTCATACACGTACTTGTTAAGATACAATGTGGGTGGTTGGCGGGTGATCTGGTGTGGTTTGCCTCTTCTTTCCTATGAAACATCTATCGTCCCCCCTTCTTTTTTATGTTTGTTACTCTCTTGTAACACCTCTAATCTTCTGGCGCTCATATGACCTTATGCAGTTGCGAGCGCTGCAAAACCTCTACTAAAACTAAACTAAAATACAATGAACTGTCGTTATACAGTAGAACATGGCTATAGTGAGACTTTTGGTTCCAGAAGAAAAATTCTCCTGTCGGCAAGTTTCCAGGAATTGGTGGTTGGGGGCAGTACCTTCAAAACCCTGTGTTGGTCCCAAGACCACCAGTACGGGTACCGGGGGTGACACCAGGAGCTGACGTCTGAGACTGTGCGTTTTGAGTCAAGTACCTTGATCAACGCAGCCTCCCCCCCCCCTACACACACATACACATACACACACACATATGTCTCTCTGCACCATCTCTCTCTGCCGCCTACCCCTCTTCGCTCATCAGTGGACTGGCCAATCACAACGCCGCTCCGCTGACTGCCTGTTTGGAGCCCATCTACAGCTCCCCATCGTCCAACCCCATGCCCCCAGATACAGCTCACTCGATATGATCTCTCCCGCTGTATCCAAGTTGCGGACTTTCCTTGCCCCGCTCAACTCATGCATTAGTAATTAAGTTTACATGGGGGAAAAAGGGGATTCCGGTAAAGCCCCGCTGTAGGGGTCAGATGGGGTTGTCATGCATCTAGATCTATGCAGGGTGTCTATGACTATGAACTTGGAGAGAGGAAAAAAAAAGCAGTCATGTCCCCACAATGGCCACCAGCCTCTGTTCCATGACCCCCATACATTTTTCCTATTTGTTGGGAGTGAGGAAAGTGACACACAGCAGTCATTACACTTGAGAGTCCGATAGATAGATGAATGAATCGTAATGAATGTGACTGTTTTCCTTACCTTTATGTATTCTTCCCAGGTTTTGGGTGGCTCAGAACTCGGGCAGTTTGGTTTCCTACAAAGTGCATCGGATAATATAGTGTAAAGTATGTACAGCTTGCTGTCGAACAGGGGTATACAAATGCTGTTTATTAATATTATTATAATATCGTTCATTTTCTTTATTTCTATTTGTAGAGTTGTAATTCTCCCTTTTCCCCTATTTTGCAGCCAGTATGGCCAGACCTGAGACACTTTTGCTCCTCTTGCTGGGAACCGGAGCCTGCATCGTTTATGCATGCAACAACGCCATCTGTGGACCACGGGTCAGCAAGTGTATGCTGATCAAGTGTTGTGGCTGTGACATGTCAGACTTGAAGAACTGCACTTGCTGCCGCGACTGCCAGGTCTGCTTGAAGTCCCTCTATACTGAATGCTGTTCTTGTGTTGGTAAGTGCATAATATATGAGCCTTTCCCTAAAAAGGTTGTCTTTCTGAGGTACTGTTCTCTTTGTAGATGTATTCAGGGAGAAAAACAATGGAAATCCAATCATATTTGGTGTCAATAGATCTGGTAAGTGCCACTGATGTGGTTATTGTACTGTTATTTATTTTATTATTATTATGCCTAGTTTTTTTTAAGTCAAATTTCTGCTGCTTCTTAAGAAATGTTTCACAAAAAATTCTTTCCTTTTTTGAATTTTTATTGGACAGGTAGTTGGAGGGCACCACTTGTAGGTCCAACTTATTCTCTTCCTCTGTTGTTTCTGTCAGTCTGACCTTTTCCCAGCACTAAAATAAAAAAATGGCTGTGATTATGTTGATGTACTTCTGTTCACTCAAACAAACCAAAACTTCTTTGGGGCAGGGGGGGGGGGGGGGGGGTTCAGCAAATTTAATTCTATGTTTATTGTCTTTATGTGTTGACATGCAGCTGATCAATAGTAATCAGATGTTTAGTATTTCTGAGATGATAACCCACAGCAATTTACGTAGTTGAGGGGGGGGGGGGGGGGGGGGGGGGTCAAAAGTTTGTTCCCACAGTTTGCCCTGTAGATGTAGAACCTTTTGACTGAAAAGGGTCCCTGGTGTATTGAGTTTTGACACACTGCCTAATGGACATGTGATGGAGAAAAGATAGATGCTTTAATTGTAAGCAAAAATACAAGTAACAAGTGAAGTTTCATTCGAACAAAAGCAATTTGAAAGGGTATAGATATGTTGTAACAGTTAAGATAAGATAAGAAGATAAGATTACTTCAACTTTGTTCGTCCACAAGAGAATTTTTGTATGGATATAGCAGAGCACTAATGAATATACAAAGATTCAGCATCGACACAGAAATGCATTCATTACATTCATGCTCAATGATGAATATGTACAAAGATGAACAAGAGTATTTTCAACTGTAAATATTCTCAGTTGAGGGTGAAACTTCAGTCTTTGTTGTTTGGGTCAGAGTAGTAGTTCAGTACTGAGTAGTGGTGGACCAAAAATCGATTCCAGAACCGATCCCCGTAATTATTGCTTCTGAGAAAAAGAACAGATCCCTTTTTCCGTAAACTAACGATTCCCAATTACTTTTTTTAAATCTTTTTTTTTAGAATGTATTTATGGAAAAAAAATGTTGGTGCTTTACTCTTGTGAATCTTGAAGACTTAACCCTTCCAGCCCCATGCGCATATATTTTCAGCAGTGCTTGTACCTACTACCGTCCCGAGAGCATATATTCTCAGTTTCGGGGGATACCGAATTTGTGCATTTAAAAAAATTAGCGAACCTAATTAAACTTTAATTTTCATAATATTTGTTCATTTAACTTTAACATTGTTATTTATGTTAGTATCTAAACCTCGGTACAAAGATACTACATCACACTTTGGAATGCATGCCTCTTTTTCTGAAATACTGCTATATTGGCTGGGACTAGGGTGAGGGAGTGCGCTAAAATGGCTGGGGCTGGAAGGGTTAAAAAAGCGTAATCGGGATGCAAATTCATTGTCAAAGATTATATCGATCTAATGTACAGTGTCAGAACGTATTTGTTGCTTTCACCTTTTTCTCATTCATCTGGGTTTTTTATTTTATATTTCCTCTTCTTTCAATTCAAAAACTAAAACTGTAACGTCTATCCTCGAGGCTCTTTATTATAGGCTCTCATTTTCTGGTGCAGGTTAGTGTTGGTTCTCTCTGACTTCACACTTTATAGGTTTGGCCCTCCCACTCCAAGTAATCAAAGGGGCCGGACTACTCGTTACTCGCGTGAAGTAATAGTTGGTGTCGGACTAGTCAGTCCTTACTCTCCAGAAGGAATTGCAGGGGTATGACTAACCGCTTATCGCCACTTGTGATTATGATACTGGCTAGGGGTTGAAACTTCTGGAAAAAACCATAGAGCCACCGGAAGAAATCACATCAGTGGCCGTACTGAAAGTAATTGGTTTTGGACCCAATTCCTACTGTCCTTTGCTTTCAATAATCGAGAATTTATGGTTACGGGGAAAAAACGGGAATCGCCCACCTGTAGTTCTGAGTCTCATTAAAATATTCTTTTTCGGGGTTACTCAGGTGGCGAGCAATAATTATCATATTATTGACGCATTTTTGTTTCATTTGTAAAAATAATTCATTTAAATGGGAAAGCATATAAAATCTTGTATTTGCAGGTCTCTGTCCGCCTCCAGATCCTGAGGATGACCTTGCAAAAACGAGTTCTGTTGAGGATCTTCCAGATCCTATCCCTGACTTGTTTGATGTCTTGACGGAGGAGGAGGACCATTTCCAGCGATGGAGTACATACACTTTTGCTGTCGACCTGGATAAATTGTTGTTCAAACCGGGCGGCGCAAAGTCCCCGAATGTCAACATGAAGATCATTCAGACTGGTGTGTTTTTTTACTTTTTAAAAAAAACTTTCTCTTACGGTGGACTGTCTTAGTTAAGACTTTGATACGATAGTGTGCAACAAAAACAACTTAGTACTGAAGAGAGGAGGATGATATTGATAAAAATTATTAAATATTTTTTAAAGTAGGTTGTTAGTCTTGTAGTAATAGGTTATTACAACAGTAGCAGTATCTCGGTGATTATTAATTCTCAGGGACATTTTAATGTCCACAGTAAAAGTGGAGAGACAGAAGCAGTTTTCATTTTGCAGCCTTTTTCCCCACAGTGAACTGTTTTTATTTTTCACAATGCACCATCATACCTTTGCAACACTGCTATCGAATACATACCATCTTGGCCTTTAAGATAAGCTACTAAACAAAAAGAGTCTCAGAGGGAGAAAATTGACCGGGACCGACATCACTAGCTATGAAGAAACACCTAGCCCATTTTCTGAATGGTAGTCAAAGGCTCCAGTTATACCCAGCCAAACCGACAAATCTTCTCTGTCTTTACTCTACACTTTTTGAAAACAAAATAAAAGAAGCTAGAAAATGCACTTTGAGTTTTAAGTAGAGAAATAGTTAATTATTAAGGACAGTTTAACCCAGCGGACTGAATGCCTGCCTCAGTATGCAATATTTTTTGCTTATTGTTATGTATACATTGAACACATGCCACTGGTTATGCTGTTATCAGTATAGCAATCGTCCCTCGGAAGCTTCTGAAGGCTGGTCATAATTTATGCTCAGGAGACAGATGAACATTTTACGGCACTCTCTGATATTTGAATTTGGTTTGTAGTCGTAATCAATATAGCTGTGCATACCTACTGAACAGTAAGCCTGTATGCTTTCACTTAATAAAACAGTATAGCCATAATGCTAAACAAGATTAGCCGTTCATTTAGGTTAGGAGGAAAGAAAGACGTATTTTGTGTTCTCTCCCATCTGACTCTTAATGCACAAATTTTTTGTTTTCATGAATATGACATTAATTGATGGGGATGTAAAATATTAAGATGTGAAAAAAATTATATTTTCGTCATTTCCCAGAAAAAGAGAAGGAACCTCAGCGCAAGTTTGAACCATCAGAAGAAGACGATGCAATTCGTCTTGGTATTCGCAACTGCACTGTGGCTTTCTTCTCTGAGTGCATGTCCATGGGCAAGTGCAAGGCCTCGTGCAGGTCCATGGGAGCTGCCAAGTACCGCTGGTTCCACGAACACGGCTGCTGTCAGTGTGTCGGCAGCTCCTGCTTTGACTATGGACTCAGCAACCCTCAGTAAGTTTTGACTTTAACCTAGGAATAGACCTGCATGTTTGCCGACAATCGTCTGAAATCCGACAATCGCGACCCGACCCGCGAACCGGCCGATGCTATCGCTAGGCCCGCCTGTATCAGTCAATGTGCGTAGTGCGAGGCTTGGCCGACTGCCAGTGACCCATTTTTCTCCCGTCGACTTCGTCGGCACTTTCGTTTTCGTGCCGACCGCCGACGCGCGCACCGCCGACTGCCGACGTCGGCGTTTCCGACATAATTGTCGGGACCTAAGTAGAAATGCGAATACGAAAAAGGACGACAACTTAAATTATCTACTTTCAGTTTCGTGCTCGAGCGGCCATTTTGAATTTCGTTTGTTGACTAATTCAATTGTTCAGATCGTGTGGATTCATTCAAGTCCAACTCTCTTGTTCTAATAGAATCTAGATCTAGATTTATATAGATCATTATAGACCTCAATGGAGGATTCATATTCCAATTCTATTGTGTCAAACCCTATCATAGGTTGTGCTGTAATCTTTATATTGGTAAAAATAAACATTTCATCAGGTGCGTGAATTGTTTATTTATTTAGTTAGTAAAGATTAGAATCTAGATCTAGATCTAGAATCTAGACTCAGCTGAGTCCCTCTGTTCGGAATCGGATGCGGATTTCTAGTTCAAGGCCTATTCCTATTCACTTGTTCTACAAGATCTAGATCTAGATTTATTTAGATTACTAGATTTCTAGATCTAGATATATATATATATGAAGGATTCATATTATATATTCCAATTCTATTGTGTTATTGTATCAAACCCTATAGCAATGTAGATGTAAGCCATATATAGATCTAGAATCTAGATCTAGATCTATATGCTCCTTGTTTGTTTTGGAGTGTGGTTTTTTTAATTAAATTTTTTTTTTCATTTAGGACTTGTTTTGGCCTTTTTACATGAGGCCCGTTGCAGGGGGGGGGGGGGGTGCGCAAAATTTTCAGACAATCTGGTTGAGGCTCACATGCAGGTCTACTAGGAAGCTCCCTTGTGGATATATTCATGGGTAATGGTACTAGATGGTATCCATGAATCCAAGGTGTTGAACAATATCTGTTGGTTGTCGGTTTTTTTTGTTTTTTAAAAAAATTTTTGCCATTTTTTAATTCATTTTTGATGTGGGTTAAAAATTCATGCTTATCGTTTTTTGTCTATGGTCTTTTACTGGTGACAAGACAGCTTTGGATTTTTCATATAGAGTTGCAACCATCCCTAAATGTTAATAGTGTCATTAGGCCGAATTATATTTAGTCTCTTGGCCCTGCAACTGTGTAGTTGACGTAAGTTCATTTATCGGAAGCAGTTTGAATTTTGGTAGAGCACTTTTTTTTTTACCAGCTGTATCTATTTGCGGTTGCGGAGCGATTAGTGCGCTAGTCTCCGAAGCGGAAAGTCCGGGTTCGAGCCTCGGTTCGGACAGATTTTTTTCGCCCCTATCTGCCTTCCCAGCAGTAATGGGTACCTGACTTCGAGTTTGGGAAGTAAAGGCAACATGGAAAGGAACTGGCTACCCTACCACAATATGCTGAAGGCCGTGGAAATTGTCTCACTAACAAGGCAATCCCCAATGTCCGGACTGGAGGCTGAACAACTTTTTATCTATTTGTTCTGAAAGAGCCATAAAGCAGCCAAAGAAAATCTACTACTGAAGATAGGAAATGAAAATCTCCCGAAAGAAGAACAACCAACATACTTAAGAGTCAAACTTGACCAAAGTCTAAGCATGAAAAGCAAAGTGGAGAACATAACGAACAAGGAGAAAAAAAAGACTCCCAACTTTTAAAGAAACTCGCAAGCTGTTCATGGGGATCAGACAAACAAACTCAGAGAGCTCTATACCTTGGTTATGGCCGATCTTCCCTGGAATACAGCAATAGCCTACACTATGTGCAGTACAACTACTAACAACAGCCTTGACAAGGTCCAAAATAATGCCCTTCGTTTCATAAATAGTGGCATGAGATCCACACCTACCGCCACATATGAAATCCTTTCAAATGTTAAACCCTTGGAAATCCATAGAGATATAGCAGTTTTGGGGCTACATGAAAGAACCAAAAGAATGTGCCCCAACCCCCCAAACAGGAAATTAGTAGAAACATGGAAACCGAAGAAACAAATTCAACAAAAGTAAAGCATGCATCACATCACAGAACTAATGGAGACTCACCACCTACCACAAAACTGAAAAGAAACCAAAAGAGTCAACCAAAACATCCCTTCCCATCTTTCTTCATAAAAGCCAATCATTACTACATCTCTCAGAGACAATAGCACAAAATCTTCAGACCCTGTGACGCTGATGCTTGCATCACATCAAACCATCGACAGCTATGCAGATGACTGGATACAAGTCTATACAGACGGCTCAGCTTTCAAAGGCACAACCAAAGCTAGATATGAAATACTAATACAGTACCCAGATGGAAGTTCCAATGAGATCTCTGCCACCTGTGGAGAGAAATGCAGTAACTATGATGCAGAAATGATGGCAATTGAAACAGCACTGTACCATCTCCGCACAGTTTTTGACACTCATCCTGGAAAAGCACAGATATTGTGATTTTCACTTACTCACTATCAGTCTTGCAAGCGATAGAGAAAGACCATCATCTAAACCAAGATTTGACACATATACTGTTTGGTTCCATTTATCTGATAGCATTCTGTGGCATCAACCTGGTAATGCAGTGGGTCCCCGGACACTCAAACATACCTGGAAATGACAGAGCAGACACATTTGCCAAACAGGGATCTAGACAGGAACAACCCGACATTTCAACTTCATACAACACTGCAAAACAAATCATTAACAGCAAAAACAAACTAGATTGGATGAACAGTGGGCCCTGGGAAAGACTGGCAGAGCAGTTTTCAAACACATGGCCTGAACTAAACGGAATAACAATATCAACCACTTACAGAGAAGGAAACAGACCACGATCTTCCTTCCACCTAAGCTCAGAACATAATTATGCAGCTCGACTTCCTCTTGGACAGAATAAATCCAGAACTTCCCCCAATGTGTCCCTTGTGTGACTACGCATATGAGACTGTGGATCATCACCTGTTCCACTGCCTAGCCCAAAATGACATCAGAGCTACCCTTCTCCCTCCGAGACCTAACACTGACAGCATTACTCTATGGACCATTACTACTGGAACTGCAGCAAACCTGCTCTTACCACTACATGGCATTGGACAGAAGGGTGAGAGCCCAGCTGTTGCTGGATTGATAACAACTACAGCAACAACCACTGATCTGTCAGTGACTTTATTTAAGTTTAAAGTAGGATCTGATGAAGTACTTTATATTGCTATAGTGAAGCCCATGCTTCTTTGGACTGCTTGAGAACAAAATACTCCATTCCATCAAGTGGTAAATCGTTGCCAATGATAAATTGACTTTCAGATACCCTGACGTCAGTTTTTTTTCAAGGGAAATAATCATATTGAAAAATGTGCAAAACTTTTTTTTTTTCACGATTAGGTCCCCTTGATTGTCAGGGTTTCTTTACAGGTGATATTGCTGAATTTGATGATCGATGAGTTACAGTAACCATGCTCTAATGCTGTATTTTGGGGGGTATTTTTGCTTTCCTGTGTCAGTGATTGTGGATAAGTTGACTTTTTATAGCATCATCTTTTTAAAAGATTTTAAGTAGAAGCGGACCAATTTATTTCTGTTCTTTTTCAAAAGCCTAACTCAAATTTTTAAAAACAACAAAACTGAACAAGAATATTAAATTGAATGAAGACTATTTGCAAAATTTGAAATCAGCTGTCAGGCTCTCTTTTCATTCCCAGAATTGACCTCTTTTTTTTTTAGAAATCACTCTCAGTACCCGTTTCTAACTCTGTGTTTTGCAGATGTCTGAGGTGTCCAGAAACGGCCGGTTTCAAGGAGCGCTACATGTTTGAACACAAGGAGAATTCCATGTACCACAGCGATGGCTACGATAAAGTGGGAATGTCTCAGGCCTTTGTGGACACGGTATAGATGACAGATACGAAAGTGGGAGAGGTGACCTTGGAGTTCACAGAGAGGTGACCTTGGAGTTCACAGAGAGGTGCATGAACTTGGTGCGTATGCACTCACCAGGTGTGAGCAGAGATCCAGAATGTGCTGTAGATCTTGTTTCGACGCCTGTCTTGTAAATCTGCTTACTGCAAATGACTATTATTAGATGTGACAATCATCATAAAGTCTGAACACTGATTCTTGACATTTCTCCGTAAAAAATGGGATGATCAATCTTAAACACATTATTAGCATGAAGAGACGAGACACTTTGTACGAAATTACACGGGAATAAAGCGTGGTTACTGAGAAAGAAAGAATACCACTAGTTACTAAATGACAAAGTGAAGTTAAAGATCGTCATTTTATGCATAGAGGTTTAGGGCAGTTACTTTACTGATTTCTGAAAGCAGGATGCAGTGAAACCCTAGTGCTGAAATTGATTTCCTAAAGTGGTTCCGCCTTTTTTTTACGAAGCAAAGGAAAAGGAAAGAGACATTTATTTACTACCTCTGTTTATCAAGTGTATGAATTGTATATGTATGGAGATATCGGTAACTTGATGTTTATTTTGTCTTGCTGAGTGTGTAGGTGTCAGTTCTTGCCTTTGGCTTTTGTTCTTGACAAAGCGACATTGTCTGAATGGGACAATATTTTTATACATTTATTAAAGGCCGACATGCCATCTACTCTTTTGTCTTGTTCAGACGGACTTGCAGACTGTTCTGGTTCAATCCTTAACTGACCCTATTTGACTTAAGTTGGTTATGTTGTTTTTACGGCCTTACACCCCCCCTTAGCTCAGTCATGTGGTTGTGGAAGTTGAATCAGGGGTGCTGCCTCCACCGTAACTATTCTGTGTTTGAAGGGCTGTTACCTAAGCTCAAACCATAGAGCTGAAGTTTAGAGATGACAACTAAGATGTGATGGGTCCTTTTTAGTGAAACAGCAAAGAAATGTTATATTTTGTGTTCATCAGTCACTTCGCCTCTCTTGAATTGATGAGGTATGTAAGAGGTTGCGGAATTGGTTTTCAAAAATCGATATAATACTAATCTTTTTTCCTGTCAGATGATGGGATATTTCTCCAAATTTTTAGATACACAGAAGTTATAGTGCCTTTTACATTATGATCCGTCGTTAACTTTGATCATGTAGTTTAAGACCTAAACATTGAATCTTATATGACTGACATGACACATTTAAAAACATTTAATTTTGACTGGCAAAGTTTTTTATAACGGATAAGCTTTTTCCCCCCAATATGATTTACAAGGTGCATATCTTTTTATATATCATTTTAAAGTTTTTGTTTGCTTGTACATATACATGATATATTATACGAAGTTTGTTAAGGTCAGGCCTGTTACATTTAACTTCATGAAGTGAGCTATACCCTTTATGTACTTAGAATGTTGCTGGATACTGCTGTTATCAGGTGCCCTTTGTTATTGATAGCAAAAATCTTTCACACTGCTATAATGTTTTTCAAGTTTCAGTATGTAGCAGAACATATACAACAAGTGTTGTGAGTAATATATTTTTTAATTGCATTTATATAATATCAAGAGTGATGCTGTGAAAAGTTCAGGCTTTTGCCTTATATCTGCTGTTCTAAACACCAAAGCGAGAAGTTTTTATATTGTTTATACAGTTTTATTTTCTCTGTATTTTTTTTTTTTTTGCCCACGGCTTAACATGAACAATAACTACTGACATGTGCATTGTAAATGTGGTCTTTTAATGTATTGTTTTTATTTCTTTTTTTTTTTCTTTTTTTTTGTCTAAAAAAAACAGCCTTTCCTGCACTTTTATCTTATCTTATCTTTCTTTCTTTTATAATTTTTGTTAGGACAGAAAAAAAAGGGAGGGGGGAGGGGAGGGATTTTAGATTCTTTGTTTGAAGATTTTGAGGGAGAGATATCTCATGTTGTGTTGCTCTGCTGTTATTATAATATTGGGATTTTTTTAATAGATGTTCACATTATATTGGATCTCACTCTTACTTTTTAATCTCAGAGATTTGTCTCCTTGTTTTGCATTCTGTGGCTGCTGATGGCGTCTAGTTACTCCTGCTTTTGTACTGCCTGTGGTGCACAGTACAATGTACCTTTGTTCCCCCAGCCCACAGTCATGGTACTGTAATGACCTAGAGACTATGGGCTTTGGGTGTTCTAGGTGTTTCATGCCTCGTACTTGAGATATCTCATTTTTAATGCTTGGAATATCTTTTACCAATTGTTTTTTTCCCCCAAAGGTTCTCATGGCTCTCCACTACTGTCTTACTGCAAGTGCTGACATTAATTGCACCCAAACAGTTGAGAGGAAAGCGAGGTTTTAGAATTGCTATGCCATTCTCATCATCCTGCCCTTCTTTACCCTTTCTATTCTGTTACATTTTGCTGACAGGGGCGTTAAAGTAATCTGATTATTTTGGAGCTAAGTTACCAAATCTCACTGCAGACTGTTATATATGGTGTTCTTTTGACCTTATGCAGTTGCGAGCCCAGTAAAACCTTACTAAAACTTTTTAAAAGACTATTATATATCTAGCCTATATATTTTCAGTTTAGATACAGGCACCTACTATAATTACTTTTTGTATGTGTTTTTATCTCTTTGGTCTCTGACTAAAGACTGATGACGTTCTTGAAATTAAAAGACACTTATTTTTTGTTGGAGGGCCTCCCTTGTGGGTCCTACTTCTTTTCTTTCCATTTGTTTGTTTTTCTTGGGGGAGGGGGGGGGGGGTTCCCAGCGCTATAATTTATGACTGTTGAGTCAATAAGCTTCTCTTTATTTGAACAAAGAACAAGCTTCTGAGCCTGTTGCACTTTGTGTAAAAAGTTCCAGAGCCAATAATGTGTGTGGGGTCATGCACTCAAGTCCTGTTTTATTCCTTTCTCAAATTATTCTAGCTGAGCAGGGCGGTTGAATATTATATATATATATAAATAGTCAAAAGGGTTTTGAGAAAAGGCTACTATAAAGCGTTGTAAATTTTCTTTGGAGTCACAGAAAAAAGAACAAAGCATGAGCATTAAAATCAAACGACCATGCTTATGTGAAACATGACGAAAATGTTTTTTTGTTTGTCATTATCAGCATTATTATATATGTATGTCTCTTTTATTAATTATGATGTAAATATTAAAAATTAGATACAAGGTGTATGTGTATTTGATGCTGGCCTATTAGTGGCTGTATACCAATCCATGTGGTCAGATCTGTCTTAATAAAGCTGAGGTTTTCAGAAAATATAGCGTTCTTGTTTTGTTTTTGATTTAATTTAGGTTCATAATATGGCAGAACTCAGCTCTTTTTTTTTTTTTTTTTTTTCTTTGTATCATACTGGACCAAGGTGTGGAAGTGGGTTTTTGACAGGTTCTGTGGTGTGGTTTGGTCCTTCTTTACTGTCACATATTATTTTCTCCTCCTTCTTTTCTTTGTATTTTACTCTCTAGTAACACATCTAATCTTCGTCGCTTATATTATGATCTATTTGTGTTGCAATTGCTGTAAAAAAAAACTCTTACTACTGTACTTCAGGTGTGGATGGCCTTGGTCAAAATTTAGAACATCCAGCAAGGTGATCTTGGACTTAGGGTGTTTGATCAGTTTCCAATGCTCCCCTACCACATGACTTGGTATCAGGGTTCGTACGGGTCTTGGAAAACTCTTGGAATTTTGTTTTTATTTTCCAAGACATGAAAAACTCTTGCAATTTTAGAAAATTGGCAAAAGTTTTGGAAAAACAAATTTTAAGTTCTATTTTTTAAATATTTCTTTGGAGTTTAGAAGGCCTCGACTTTACTCATTCTGAAGTGTACTGTAATGGAACAAATTTTTTTTTTTTCTGAAATGACTTGATATTTGTCTTGGAAAAAAGAAATCTGGTCTTGAAAACCCATGGAAAAGTCTTGGGGGGGGGGGGAATCTCGTGCTCAGTATGAACCCTGTGGTATGAAAAGACCATCATCTGGGGTGAAACGGTAAGGCTCTTCACTGTCACATGAAGAAGATCTGAGTTTGATTCCAGTATGTTGAGGTATCTAGTTCATGTATCCCCATCTGTCTCCTTGGACATTATATCCCTTTCTGCCCGTGTTGGCTGTGACAGTGACAGGCAAAGTCGAAGCAGCCGGCCTCCTAAATAATCTACATTGTTTCGATGGGTGTGCTTATATACACTGACAATATAATACTAAAAAAGGTCAAAATAACTATTTAGTGTGCACTTTGGCTTCTAAAACAATATCCTGTTTACTTGTAGACAGCAGTATTGTTTTTGTTGGGAATTTTTTACTTTTTTCTCTCACTTCTTCCTTCACTCGTACTCCCTCCTTTCCCTCCCTCTCTATCTTTCTCTCTCTCTCTCTCTCTCTCTCTCTCTCTCTCTCTCTCTCTCTCTCTCTCTCTATCTCTCTCTCTCCCTCTCTCTCCCTCTCTTGCCCTTCTCTCCCTCTCTATCGATCTTTCTATTTTATATTGTGTGTGCGCCACACACTCGTCATACTCACACTTATGCTCTGGTATAAAATTAAGTTGGTCTATGACCATAGAGGTGCATTGTGAGGGTGGTCATAAAAAGAACCAGCTTGTCACATCAGTTGCTTGATACACCACCAACAATTGTTTTAGAAAATCATCAAAACTCTAAATCCCTGTTACGCACGTACGAGTGAATTAATAAGTACAAAGGATAGCATAAAGTTGACACACCCCCCTCCCCCCTTCCCCCCCAAAAGTGTTACAAAGATACGGTACGCCTCCCGGGGCGGTGCTACTGACTGAGGTGTCTTTAGGCCTTTCCCAAAGGGGGGGGGGGGATTAACATTTCGAGTTCTTATGCACAGAAGAATTGTAATTGTAAATGGGCTGATTCATCAATGTCATGCTTATAACTATAACTGTGCCTGACCTGCAACAGGGAACTGCTGCTTTTTCTTTCCTAATCCTTACTATCGTCATTTTCCTCTACCTTTTTGTATGCTTGTCACGCTGTTGTTACCCGGTATTTCCGGGGTGCCTTGATAGTCGAAGCAGACTTTTTGCTGTTGAAGCTAGAGAGGTGAGCTGAGTAAGTCTGATTCCCTGTATTGTAAGGATTTCTCTGTTGACATCCACCCCTTGGCGCTCATATGACCGTATGCAGTCGCGAGCGCCGTAAAACCTCTACTAAAACAATTTGTTTAAAAAGATACGGTACCTTTTTAAAAAAGTCTCTGACAGAAACGCTTGGAGAGTAATCATCACAGTGGTAGACAAAAGTCATATGGGACTTCACGAATTAGAAATGCCCGAGCCAAGAGGGAAGCTCACAAGCTGTGCACATCCACGGGTGGAAAAGCAAATTTTTGAATGGTCAAACTCAAAATGTGGCAAACTCTTCTTTGTCAGAATTGAATACATTGACCATAACAGAAACCAAAAGTCCCCTTAATCCTTATTTTTTCTATTCCACTTAAGAAATGTTCCCCTCTGCAGACTTTTAGGATCATCATCATCATCATCATCACCATTGCATAAAAAGCAGATTTCAAAACGGTTAAGACCTGGTAGTATCATCATCATCATCATCATCATTCTTCGTAGTAGAAGTAGTAGTTGTTGTAGTAGTAGCAGTAGTAGTAGTAGTAGTAGTAGTAGCAGCAGCCGCTGTAGTAATAGTAATTATAGTAGTAGTAGTAGCAGTTGCAGTAGTAGTAGTACCTCATCCGATCAGCAAAGGTCGGTAGAATTTACAAAGAGGCAAATTATAATCAAGCAACAACAGAAAAAAAAACCCCAAACAAAACTGGGTTATCCTCGTGGGAAACGAGGACACAATCCAATAAGGCTAACGCAGCAAATCTAAAAAGATAGGGCCCACTGCATGATGTACTTAAAGTAGTAATGCATAACTCCTCCTATTACTTTCCCAGTCTCCGGGTGTACCTGTCTCTTAGAACAGCTTTTCCCAAAGCCTCCCCATCCCACCTCTCATCCCCTTCCGGGTTTGTTTTTTGTTTTGTTTTTTGTTTTTGGAGGGGGGGTTGTTTTGTTTTGTTTTGTTTTCCCCCGTTGTGCAGGTTTACATGTGGTGAATCACAGTCCATAAGCTGGCCCTCTGGGGAAGTCATCCGTTTCCGGAATCTTCTTGTCTCCCTTGAATGTCACTGTCAGTCAGCCGACCCCCCCC